TACAGGTTGATCGCGGTTTTAGTATTGTTTCATGTTATGAAAAAAAGTTATACAAATCATAATTTTGTACTCTCCATCCGCTATTAGCGTTACTAAAAAAAATTCATTATTTACATAATATAAAAAGAAAATATGACAAATGCAAATATTTTCTATACTAAAAATATTTTATAGCAAACTTACAAGGAAATAAATTTAATTTTCAATTAAATTCAAATTGATATCAACTAGAATAATATAAAAGTTGTGTTCCGCAAACATTAAATTTTAATTGTGATAACAACAAAGCTTTGAAATATAATGCCGAACATTTTATTGCATGATTTCAATTACCTACATACTTAGTTTTTAATGGATTTATTAATATTTAAGTATTTATACTAGCATATTTGCATAATTAAACTCATACTATGTACAGTAATTATAAAGTGTTGTAATAATTATTTTCTACTTCTCTGTTTTAGTCACATGAATTTCAAATTCACTGTAAAAAAAAACCATATACTCGTAAAGCACAGTATGTTTGCGGACATTATCAATTATTTTTTAAAAAAAAATTTTTATCTAATTTTTATAATTTATCTCAAGTTCTAAAACTAGAGAAGGGCGTATATCATGGCAATTCTTTGTATGAATCATTTTTATATTAAAAATCAAAAGTATGTAGGGATATGTATAGATAGTAATTAAATTGTTACGACTGAAAAATAGTTATCAGAAATATTTTACTGACGTCTTCGTTCACCTTATGGTGGTGTTATTTTCGTATGAATACTTTTGATAGAAAATTTTTGTTATCTAATTTACCGAACTAATTCCAATTAGGAATTGGACTTTTCACACTGTAGTTTTTCTCAGTGTTAGCTTCCGTACTGAGTATGCTGTGCAGTTTTATTTTCGAATACCATAAATTTTTCAACTTTCGGAATACATTCAATCTCAGGAAGTGCGCCACTTAAAGGCAAACAATTGTTTGACCACATCTAAGATTCTTAATTGGTTGATGTGGCCTCTGTGGTAGGTTTGTCCCAACCCAAATAGTAAAAATCCGTTTTGCTACCATCACCCATACCATAGTCTTTTTAATTTCCGTTCATCCGGTTCTTTTGAGGAATATACCTAAATCTCCAATATCAATATCCAATATATAGTTCCAGCCCGTGACGATTAAACAGAGCAAGCAGAGCAAACTAATAAAATTTTTCAGCGAAATTGGAACGTAATAAACGGATTTTTTCACACTTTAACTAAAAATTAAGTTTCAAATAATTTTAAAAAATTTTAAATATGAAAAACAATCGAAAGAGATAGAAAATCAAATAAATTATTTTTATACTTCAAAGACATTCTCTTAGAAAACTTTCGTTTATAAAAATTAATAAAGTGAAAAAAAAACTCAGAGAACAACCTTAAACTCATCAATCTTCTTAAGTGCAATAATGTAAGTATTTAGACTATAACAGCAAGTCAATTACAGTATGATTTTATTCAAAATATACGACATTTACAAAGAACAATAAAAAAGTAAAAAAAAAAATTAAATTAAACATAAAAATAAAAAAAAAAACAAATAATAATAAAATTATTTCAAACCTTCAAGAAGAAGAAAGCAAACAAAATACTTTTAAAATAAAAAATAAATTAAATAAAAACAGAGCGATAATGACACACAAACTAATAAAAACAAATTTAAAGTATAATTGAATTATAACTGATAATTTAAATTTACACATTCAAGAAAGTCCACACGATACTTACATACATAAATTGTACAGTGTGTGACTAGTCTTTTAACAGACTGCACAATATTAAAACGTTCGACTATAAGAAAAAACAGAAACAAAACAAAAACTTAAATTGTCGCTATACAACACTGCCAAAAAGAAAAACAATATTAAGAATTTACAAATATAAAATTTTTAGATAGCGTTTACACATCAAGCAAAATTTAATGATTTGATGATTTTGGTTGATTAGATTGAAATTTGACGAAAATTTAATGCAATCAAATTTGATCCAATCAAATTAATTAAAATCATATGAGCAAAATATAGTCTTGTCCAATTCTTATTAAGTTTTTGGACAGAAAGAAAAAAATTATGTGGCGAGGAAATATCTGACTCGTTAGGAGCCCAATGATCAGCTGTTTATTGGGAAAAAAGTGTTAGTTTTTTTTATATAGTCTAAATTTGTTGAAAATTACTTAAAAAATTACTAATATGCGACAATTTAATTGAATTTATTAAATCTTTTGAAAGTAAAGAAATGTTTATGTATACAAAAAATTATTTTTCCCTTGATTTTGAATTATTTCGCTTATTATTTTTCAATTAAATCCCTACCTTTTTACTTATTGCTATAAATATACTTTGTTTTCCTCCACGGGGACCGAGGCTCCTAGGCCCCACTCACGTCGACCTATAGGATCTTTTGTGATTCCTACCCCCTACATAAGCCATATTTCTGGGCCCCTGACAAACCGCAGCATGGCAGCCACATCAAGCTGCGAGATCCTCCCAGGGGTCACAAAGCCCCCCCGAAGCACCTCAGCCGCAGGAGAGCAACCGCCTCGCACTCACACAGCAAGTGCTCTATGGTTTCGTCCTCCTCCAGGCATAAACGGTAGACCTCATCCGCCAACCTATCCATCCTTTTCAGGTGGGCCCTCGTGAGGCAGTGTCCAGTGAGAACCCCCACTAATGTTCTCAAATTTGGACGACTGAGCAAAGTCAGATCCTGCCCCCCCATTCCCGGGGGACTCACAAATTTCCTAGAGTGCGACAGGCCCAGGCAGCTGTCCCAGTGTTCAACTCTGGCCCATTTCTCCCATTCACTGAGGGTACGCAAGACCGTTGTCTTGGGCACCCCAAAGCATGGCTCCGGCCCAATGAAGGGAGCCGCCGCTCCCTCCCTGGCGAGACCATAAGCTCTCTAGTTCCCGTCCATCCCGCAGTGTCCCGGCACCTACATAAGGGTCAATATGTTGTGCCTGGCCAGGACGCCAAGGGCGCCAATGCATTCCTTCAGCAGCCTCGATCCCACTACATCAGACAAGAGGGCCCCGAGAACAGCCCTACTGTCCGACATAATAAAAATCCTGCTCCTTCTTATGTTCCTTCTGATACATTCTAGAGCACACACCTCTATGAGCATATGTCTTAGCCTGAAATATCGATGGGCAGCGTCCTAGGACCCTTGATATGCTTACGCCCTCTCCGTACACACCCACGCCCTCCCCTTCATTGGTTTTGGATCCATCCGTATAGAAGACCACGGCCCCAGGGCAAAGTTGTGGTCCCCCCTGTCACAGATCCGCCTTTCAGCTAGATCCACAACGTATGACCTCACTATGTTCCTCTTCCTTAGACCAAAGTCCAAGGGCATCCCCATGTCATGTAGCTCACCGATAGGACCCCCCCTGCGGGCAACCACACATGGTCCGCACTGTAATGCAAGGAGCCCAGCATGGCCCCGATCCATCTCTGGGTGGGTGCCTCAATTTCTTTGCCTGCAGCCGCCCTCATTATTGACTCAAAAGATGTATTCTGTGAGAGCCCTGTGATAGCTCCCAAAGCAGAGAATTTTTTGGCCCTATTGAAGAGTTTCCTAACACTCTTCTTCAGCCAACCTCCCATTCCACCAGGGCACCTATCTTTTAGCCCTTTGTGTCCTGACCGGGAAGCTTTATTCGAAGGACCGGTTATGTCCGGATCGATGTAATATCCCCGCCAATCTCGGCCAGCCCCTCCTTTACCATATTCTTGTATTTTGCCCAGTTAGTTCTTCGAGGCACCCTTACGGGCTCCTCCAAGCCTTCTCCAAAGGTTGCCAAGCTAAAAATAATATGCCTATGATCTGAGAGGAAAACCCACTCAGACACGTACTAGTTCTTCACCAAAGAGGCCACAAGGGGGCTACATATCGTAAGGTCCAAGACCTCCTTGCATATCGCGTTTATGAAGGTCGGCTCGTTACCCCTATTGGCAATATCTAAGTTATTTTGTAAATTCGCTGAGGCACATATTAGACTCTGACTTCTACCTGTTTGTTGAGCCTCAACCTCCACTGCCACCAGGTCCCTTGTGATGAACTCTGGAATTGAAAGAAATTTCATAGATTTATTATGCCACAATGCGGCTCTTGGTATTTCATGTAGATGTGAGAAAACCAACTTACATTTGTTATCCTGCAGGCTTTTATTTGCCCGCCATAAACCCATGGTTCCTGAAGGAAGCCTATGTGGAAGTCCTCTTTGAAGAACCTTCTGCTCAGACAGCTTGATGCTGCTTTAGCCTGATGGAGGTTCACCTGGATGCACCTTAGTTCAAGCATTAGGTTTAGTGACTTCTGATGACCCTGAAGGCACTATAGCCTCCGCCGTATGGCTAGTCACCGGAAGTCGACCCGCTGGTTTCCTCGGTGCATCCTTCCTGTTAGCCGCAGGAGCCCCATCCTGGTCCATTAACTGGTATACTACCACCGCCGTTTCGGCTGCAGGGTGACCCTTCCTACCGTCCCCCTGCTTTCTCTCTTCTTTCCACACTCGCTGGCGGCGTTGGACCTTTCCAAAGCTGTAGCTTATGGTATAGTCCAGCTCCCTAAATTTATATACTATAGGCATAAAAAAATTAAATTTGACACCAGATTGGATCAAATTAATGCTTGATGTTTAAACAGAATTTCCCATTCAATTTTATAGTTGTCAAATTTAATCTTCAAACTTTACTTGATGTGTAAACGGAATCTATAATAAAATAAAAGTAAAAAGAACAAAAATAATAACAATATTATAAATAGAGGGGCACAAAAATAATATAATATAATCTCTCAAAATAAATTTACAGTTCATTTAAAAGTAATGTTAAAAAAATATTTTGATAACCTAAGAATAAAGATTTTTTTTTTTATAATTTATGTATGACAATATTAGAATATATAATAATATTAGAACAGAATAACAGAGACACTTAAAATGAACATAATAATCATAAAAACCAAAATTAAAAGTTATAAGAAAATAAAAAGAAATATAAAATAAAACTAACGCCACTTTATACATACCTAGATTGATAGTAGTAAAATCATAACTGTATAAATATTATATGTACAATATTTGTAATCCGAGCAGCAGTGCTTCCACTAATAATTCATTTTTATAAAAACAAAAATAATAAAAATAAAAAAAAAATAAAAGAAAATAAATTATCTGACATATTATGAACATTTTATGAAGTATAAAATTTTAAATAGTTGTAAAATTTACGGGATATTGAGAGCATCAAAAAAAAAAAAAAATAAATAATTAAAAAATTTTAAATCGATAATCTTATAAATTAATTGATATTCAGAAACGAAGTTAATGAGAGTATTTACACCATATTGTTTTTATTTTTCTCTTTTTTCTTTGTTTTATTACTTAATACTTTACTAAAATATACAAATAAATTATTTATATGTCATTCGTACGATTTTTTTTTATAAAAGTTTTAATTTACCGGTAATATTTTTGTGACATATGCATTCAGCAAACGTATATTATACAAAGTGCAACATAAGTACCGTATTGATCATGCACAATTTAATAATTATTTAAAAATTCAGTGGTGCCTTTAAATTCAGTGATTTATTCTATTTTTCCAATTTAATTTAATTATTTTATTGATTATCAATTATTAATAAACAAATTATTCATTTAAATTTTTTATTAATATTTTAATTTTTAATTTATAAGCCTATATACATTTTAAAATATCAATTTAAATTTTGATTTTTATTTAAATATATTTTTTATTGTAATTATTCAGTATAATCCAAAAAAAAAAAAAAATAATTTATAAAAAACAATAATTTTACAAATTAAAAAAAAAATAACAGAATACTAAAATAATAAAAAAAAACAATATGATTATAAATTTTTTATGTTATCTATTATACATAATAATTTTAATGTGTTCAAAACCAGCATATTTAACTCAACCATATAAAGACTTTGATATACATTTAACAATATCAGCACAAACTCGTTCATTGGAAGTATCATGGGAGAATGCACGTTTATGGCCAGGTGATATCATTTTAATTACAACAACTGAACCATTTGAATTTCGTATACTATCTGATTCAATATATGATAAAGAGAATCTATGGCATATAATATTAGATAGAACAGCAAAATTATCAAATAAAATAACAAGAGCAATTGGTTTAGGGCAATTTTTCGATGATACAAAATTAATACGACGTACATATGAATATAATAATAATACAGATTATGGTAATAGTATACGTGCTGTTATAATACCAAAAGAAAAATCACAATGGTTAAAAACATTAATTGATTATGATATTAAATTATCAAATATACAAAATAAAAATATTAATTGTTATGGTTATTGGGTTAGTTATATTGATAAAAATGGTAATATTATTGTTAAAAATTGTTTAAAAGCCTATCCAATATGGATGAATGAAATGAAAGATGATATTGGTGAATTAACAATTAAAGATTTATTAATACCTGGTACACATAATTCTGGTTCATATAAACCGGGATTTAATCCAAATAAAGATTATTTAGATATATTTCAACGTTTTACATTAACACAAGATGAAGATGTATGGGAACAATTAATGCATGGTATACGTTATTTAGATATTAGAGTTGGTTATTATGATTGGAAACCAGAAAAATTTTTTACAAATCATGATGTTAGCCGTCAACGTCCATTAGTTGAAATATTAGAACATGTTAGAGAATTTGTTAAATTAACAAATGAAATTGTTATTGTTGATTTTCAAGAATTTCCAGTTGGTAAGATTTTTTTTATTTGCGAATATAAAAATATTTTTTAATATTTAATTTAAAATTTATGTATATAATATCATATAGGTTTTCATAATAATCAAACAATACATGATTCATTAATATCACTTATTAAAAGATATTTTGGTGGTTATATAATATTGCCGGGAAAACATGAATGGAATCAAAATTTAAATGAGATATGGTCAAATAATCAAAATATATTTGTTGCATACGATTATTTACCAGCTGTACAAAAACATTCTGATATTTTATTTCATGCCTGTAGACATCGTTGGGCAAGAGCACCAAATTATGAAAAACTTCGTAATTATATTCGTAATCAATATAACTATGATACAGAGTAAGTCTTAACTTATAAAATTAATGAAGTTAAAATAATATTATATTTCACAACTCACTATTATTGAATTTTTGTCTTGCAAAATTTTAAGTTAAATTTATCCACTAATCAAGGATATTTTGTTATCAAAGCATGTACATTAAAATATTGAATTACCTATTTTAAATCAATTCTATTTTATTTATTTTCTTATTCTAATTTCAGTTTTTATGGTTTAAGACGATACTTTCAATTACCAACAGTTGATATGGCTGAATTAACAGCCGATGTAATGGGAATTTTAACTGGAAAATTTACAGGTTTAAGAAAAATGGCTGATTCAGTTAATTCTAAAGTAACTTTATTATATCAAAATGAATTGGGTGATAAAGCAAATGTTGTTGCTGTTGATTTTTACCGAGGGACTCGAATAGTTGATTTAGCGATTAAATTTAATAAAAAAAGAAAACAAAAGTCTAGTGATGATTAGTGTGTGTGTGTGTTTTTTTTCATAATATTAGATATTTGTGTTTATTTTTATATAGATTTTTTTATTTTTATTTTTTATAAAATAAACTTTATGTATTTTTGTTTTCTTTTTGTTAAAGTTTTTTAAAGACTGATTAAATGAACAAAAAAAAAAATATATATAAATATTTTTTTATATTGATAAATGAATTTGTTTAGTGCGCAAATGGAATTATTGAAAAGTAAACAGCAATGAATTTGTGATAGTCAAGTGTTATTGCACTACGGTTACTATATAGGTTGTTATTCTCTGAAGGTATTGACTCTTTTTAAACGAATGACATCAAATTCTGTGTCAATTCCAACTATATGTGAATGCATTCTGCATTTTTCCGAATAGTTAAGTCGATATTTATTTTTCATTTCAGAACACAAAACTGGTTCGGAGATTTGGAAGTAAAGATTTAAACAAATCCAAAAATTTTAATGAGAAGAAAATAATGTTTGTTGTTTTTCATTTAAAATTTGTTAAGCCATCTGTCGGAATAAATGCTCGTAACATTTTCTCTCAAATTCTCTCTTACAAGAGGATTATAATTACTGAGTGTATTGTACATCTGCAGTGTTAAATACTTAGCATATTATGTAGCCTTAATAGGCTACATAAAATAGCAGATAGCAAAATATTTTTTTATTGAATTGCAATTGTTACGCATGATTGAGGAACCATGATTATTATTTTGAAAATTTTTATTTATTTATACTTGTATACACTTGATATTACGAGTATTTGCTTTTAATATTTTATACGAAGCCGTTGTGATTTTTCTGTTCACATTATAGAAAACAACGATTATAGTAGAGGAGCATAAAAATTATAAATACCCAAACAATCTAGACTAGATAAGAATGTGTAAAATATCTCTAATATTAAAATATTTCAAATTATTTGTCAATTTAAATTTTTTCTGCAATTTTTAATAACGGCACTGCTAACATCAATTTTTCTGTTTAAATTAGTTATTAATATTTTTAAATTATTAAATTTTAATATTTTTACTATACTAAAATATTAAGCAAATACAAATATGCAACCATATTTCTTTATATATAAATTTCCCATTTAGCAATTTCTCCAAAAAGTACACTCCAAAGTTTTGGATGCTTTAAAAAAAAAATCATTTTAATCTTTAATAGTATTTACTTTTTGAATAGAAAGTAAAAAATTTTGTAACAAGTTTTTCTTAGAAATTAATAAAATGAAATAAAATAAAATATTTTTCTTTTGAAAATTAAGTATAAAAAAGATTTTAACAACATGCGAATCAAAAAAAAAAAAAAACAACAAAAAAAAAAATTAAAAAACGGGCGACAAATTTATAGAGCAAAAAAAAAAGACCAATTCCAATGATAGAAAGAATAATATACAGAGTGTGCCCCAAGTAAGAAAAATTAGAATGGCAAATCGATAATAAATACATTGCATTAAATAGCACGGACTTTCAGTAGGTTTTGAAACCTGCATTGCTCGTATTCGTACCCTTTATTAGGCTTGTAGGAATAGCTTTCATCTGCCAAACACGTATTGTTGAACGCTAGATGTAAATCAAATCAAAGCCCATCGATTTTTTAGTTAAATGTGGATGTCAATCAAACAATACTGACGATTCATTACTGAATGGATGACTTTCATTGAATTTCCTAAATTAACTTCGATCAAGCGTATTTTGAGAAGGTATTTTATAAGATAAGTATTAAAGAATTCATCAAAATGATAGATTACGCTAAAGCATAGAATCAGCTAGTGTTTACCTGTCGAAACGAAGATAGGATAGAATACCTATCGAATTTTTTGTTGTGATGCTGTAAGATGAAGAGCAGTATATTTATGTTATTGTCATATGGCAAACTTGTTCACATAACATATAGCTATACATATGACAAGATTGAGTATTTTGTGTGATTTAACGAATTGATCCCGTCATATCCCACTCAGCAATACTTTAACATGCAATAAATATTACCAAACCATAGAAATTTATTTATAAAATTAATTAAGGAATTTTTGAATTTGTTCGAATGCATTGAAAAGTCACTATTCAGAACTCGTTTTTTTTTTTTTGATCACTTAAATGCATATGTAGATATTATAAAAATCACTCTGTATTTACGTGCATATAATCTCAGATTAAACATTATGAGTATGACATCCACCTACAATCCAATTAAATTGTAAATAAGTACAAACTATTCATGAACAAGAATGACAAAAAAACAAATACATAAATAAATATAAAAGTTTAGAGGGAAGATAAAGAAACGTGTGACTTCCTTTATTCTATAAAATTAGTTTTTATTTAAGTAAGTAAATTCCGTAAGGTTTTTTCATTAGATCTAATTGTGATTCTTGTTTTTTTTCGGTTTGTTTATTTTGCCTTTATTTTGATATTTTCTTGTTTGCAAAAGCTGACCGGCACACGGTAGTTTATAGAAAAAGTTCACTTTAAGATAATTTGTACACAATATGTAAACTTGCATAAATGTGTACAAAATATGTGTACATAATGTTTGCACACACACATATTAAATTAACATTTTACATACAAATATAACATATAAGTAAATATAAATAAAATATATAATATAAATGTGTATGTATGTATATATAATATAAATGTGTATGGTGTAAACGTGTTTTGAGGGGCAAAACTAAAGAAAAAAAAACTTTAAAACATAAATTCATTGAAAATCAAACAAAACAAAATTCTATCATATTTAGTTTATAGGGAACACATACATAACCAATTTTATAAGAACACATGAAAAGTTTTTAATTCAATTTGGGTGTATAAAGCCAATTTTTTCTCAATTAAGTTTTTGGTCTTTAATTTAACTTCTGTTGACTTTAATTTGACTCTTTTATGTTTGATAGAAAGTTTGTTTTTACCGACCACATCGCATACACTAAGGGAAGTTATGTGATGGCACCAAGTTTTTCATATCGAGTTCTCAGTGGAAACATGTCGGTGTGTCTATATGGTCAGTATGTCTGTCTTCCTGTCAGCTGTTGGTTCGTTTATCTGTTTGCCTGTCAGTCTGTGTATGTACGCGTGTATCTAAAGTTCAGCTGAACAGATTTTGATGAAGTCTTATGTGTAATTTCATTGCGGCTATATAACGGATTGATAAACTGTTGGAATACGTTAAACTTCGAACACAGGATCTCTTTGCAGTTTGATTTTACATTTTTGCGCATTTGAAGATCAACCAATTTCCTTCAAATTCAATATTTAAATTCGGAGTGCTGAAAAAATGAACTTATAAATCAGGCTCCAGAAATCGGACTAGAGGCCAATTTTACCTTTTTTGTTCTATTTACTGAAATATTTGATAAATTTTTTTGAATTTTTATATTTGAGTTCTGGTTTTTGTCTCGAAACTAACTGCTGAAATTTTCCTGGAATTTGAATGGCACTACTAAGAACTAAATTTATATTTTCTAGGTATGTTAAATAAAAGCTTACTAGCTTCCTTAAAAATTGGAAAGAAATATTTAAAAAGCATTTTTATAATCTTCTGTAACATACGTTCATTAAACGGTACAATACGGTTATGTACTGACCACATCAAGTTTTGTTTTTTTTTTGCTCGAATTTTTTACCATATGTGCTCCTAAAACTTATCCGTTTCATTATATAAAAGGCACTTTTTTTTTTAAAACAGAAAGTTTTCTGTCCTAATTTTTTTACTATTGTATTTTTTTTTTTGTATATACATAGGTACATAACGTAGTTAAAGTTTTAAAGTTATTCCTTATATATTTGTGTATTATATATGTATGTATGTATGTATATAGTTTATGAAATTTGAAATTGAAATGAACATATTCTAACTGAAGTCTATTAATTTTTATTATACATATATTAGAGAAATGCTCAAATAGATTTTCATGTTTACCCAATGGACTAATTCTATAGTTTTTTTTAAGTAAAATAACAATTTTTGTTATACCTTTCGTATTTTCTCTTAATATGATTATAACAATTTGTTTTTTTATTTTTTATTTAATATTATAAACTTAAATTTTTAGTTATAACACATTTTATAAAAGTGCAATTAGTCAAATATTTGTTGTAATAAATCATAGCGTAAGTTGCATAAGAATTACTCATAATTCTTACTCATGGGTGTAATGTAGCATCCGGGCCATGGTATGTCAGAAAAATGACACGTAAATGGTTTTGCTAAACTAATTGGTCACTATATACAGAGATTGTTATTTTATATTGTGTTTGTTATAGAGATGTACCGCTGTATTTGCAATTTAGGAGACCAATATAATATGCAACTTTGAATATATTGTTGATAATTTCTTAAATACTAAGTATACACTTAACCTATAATCTTAATCATTAATCGAACTTATTTTGGCCATTTTCCCTAGTTTTCAAAAAAATATAATTCATTATGGTTTCATTTATAAGAGGCATTATCCTATTTGTGAATAAAATTATATAAAAATTTGCTTAAAGCCAAAACATTACTCTTATAATTTTTTTTGATTGAGTACAGTTAATTTATTAATAATTTTTTAAATTTAAAGAATTTACGATTTTATTGCCAAGCATTTATTTTTAAAAGTTTTACTTTTCATATTGAAAAAGAGAAACTTTACACTCATTTTTTGAAATAATCCTTCAATAATTTACATTAAAAATCCATTAAAATATAATCGAAAATATTTAAATAAATATTTTTATAAATTTATATTTAAGTTTTTTTTTTCATTTAAAATTTTATATCACATGAAATATTGGAAATTAATGATCTTTTTCTGGTGGTACCAGTTTGTTTTGCCTTCACAGTATTAATAATTGGGCAGATATTCAATTTTACATTGAAGTAATTTAAGAATACTCAGAAGAGAAAAAACACTTCAATTTTTATTTTATTATTATTATTTTTTTGCATTACAATTACAGCTATAAATCAAGTATTTTTATTTCTGCGAATTTTTTTCTCAAAGAGAGAAAAAAAAATCATACACTTCCGTTCAATTAGATAGAAATGGGAGAATTTTTAGTAAACACAGAACAAAGATTTGCTGAAGAAAAATTGCATTCTAGATAAAAATTTGATTTTATCGATCCCATGAAGTAATAAGAGCTATAGATGAAAAATAGTTTTCGAGCAAATATAAAACTTTGTAGAAATTATTTCGGGATTTACTTGTGTTGTACGCCACATATTGTTTGTATACATTGTAACTCAGTATGTTTAACAACATTTTGCTGTGTTTTAGCTTAAACAAAAATACGATAATATTAAAAACACTTTCTTCAACCACTTTCACTGAAGCAAACTGTTTTTATTTTGTAAATTTTATTAAATTTTAAGGGTATGATTTATGAATAAAAAAATCTCCTGTTCATAACCAATTTTACTAGTGTGTATAATATGCGAGATCCTTTTTGATATAAATGTTATTATTTTTTTTTTTTTTTGTTAATACTTTCACTATAATTCAATTATTTACACATGTTTTATGTTGTTTTACATGCAGATAATTTTAAATTTTCATATATTACATAACAAACTTGTAATAAGTAAGTAAAAAAAAATACCTACGTATATATACGTGTTGCATATTTATAGGAGGTTTTTGGCAA